CGGCAGTACCAGAAGCAGCAACAGTGAGTATTCGCAATTTAATATGGCGTTGATTTTAAAGAATATATTATTTCGGGCACAATATGTTATAGATAAAATAGGGTCATATGCCATTATATATAGGGGAGTCAGTATTTGATAGAATGGGGACACTATTTTAAATGAAATGATGGCCGGGGTTCATTGTTATATGTGGGTCACTTCACAGTTGCAACCAGCCAAATGCCATCTAATTAAATTGCAAAGCATTTTAACGATATAAATATAAGACAAAATGTAAGAAAAGTTTTAAAAAGGCAGCTTCAACACGTCAAGTTAATCGATAAAATTTGAGTATTGAAACATTTACATCATCGTTAGCATTATTTATGTTAATATTTATGGTAAGTATATAAAGCTCGTGTTGTTTATAGGGAGTAATAATTATAGGTACACAGATGAAACATCATAAACTATAGATCGAGCTACTATTCTGCTGTATACCACTTACTATTCAATGCATACCGTAATTCAATTAGAACGCATCAAAGGGTAATGTCATAGCGAGTAAAATTATACCTTATTTTGAGTTGATATATTGGATATTAGTCTTATACAAGAAGAAGAAGAAAGATGAATTTAAATAAATTTACGACAGATATTATTGAAATAACAGCGCTTCCGGGTGCTTTCAATATCGGTCTCATTCATTTTATTTGAATAATGTAGACATACATGGATGAACAAGCGCCAAAAGGTTATAGTGACACGAGAGAAGACCGGCATATTTGTGATAATTATACAAGAAGACGCATACGTGTAGAGTAATTTGTATAAAGGTAAATGTTCACCAGGGTATCAAATTTGCATGGATAAAATGCAATATAATAATGTATAAATTGTTATATGTTTAACCAAAGTCAATTCATCTTAAATGGCAAGCCCTGATAACCAGAAGATAATGAAGTTTTACTTTGCGATTTCATACATTATTACATACATAAGAATCGTGTCTCATAAAATCCTATACATAATTATATATAAAATATATATTACAGTCAATATGTTCCGCTAGGTACGTGCACACCGTTGAGATGTCTCATGATTAAATAACCAATGTAACGTTTAAGACAGCCACTGTTGTTATATTCGTCTTTAAAGGCGCCAATACTGGAACAATATTGTCACCTTTTAACGATCAGTTATATGAATAGAGAGACTCAAATGCGTCAAAATGTAAATCAAACTGGCTTGGATCATACAAAGCAAAATAGTTTGTTATCTTGTTATTTTTTTTATCTGCAACGGAATCTTTGTAGGGCACGTATGACTTTACCGGAGTTATTTCTTTTACAGTGAGAAACATGGGAACCCACATGATATCGTGACCAACAATAATGTGACCATGATTAAACAATTGTTGAAACATTTAAAGTATCGTCGCATGGTGCACTGGTTCTTCTTTGATGTTCGTCAAATGCTATGCGCAAGTAGCATGCTTAATTGACAATAATGCACAGTGCGATATCTCCGATAAGGCACACTTCTGTAGAAAAATATAGGCTGAAGAAAATAGAATTTATTCAGATCGTGGATATGTAATGGGAAACTGGGGATATGGCTTTCAGTTTAGAATAAGTTTTGTCTGGTTCATCAACGTACTGGTTTATAAACCTTTTTATATTTTTTCCTCAATGTCATTTGGTGCCAGGAAGTACTGCCTCTATGAATCTTTAACATGAGTAGCAATACTTGCAATATTATCTATTTCAAGTCCCTAACGATAAAAAGTAACCGAGGTTCCAAATAGCTAATTTATTTTATTAAGGGAAGCAAATATGAATTGAAATATTATGTTTAATGAGAATTCTCATTTTCTGTATGTCACGGTTCAGAACTGTTCACTATTTAGGGGAGAAGATGTGTAAGCGGCCGGATAGCTCAGTCGGTAGAGCCGCGGAACGGTATTCCGAAGGTCCCGGGTTCGAGTCCCGGTCAGGCTGCACATTTTTCTCACCCTGTGACATGTACCTCAGCACTACCAAAAAACATAGAACCTTTTGAATACCACGCTTAAACGTTTTTTCTCATCTATGCATTGACATAGCCCACACTATATTGAAATTTGTCCCTTTTCATTGGAACACTTAAATGACAAAGTGAATTGACTTGGAGTAAGTACCGCCATAACTTCATATTGGTCCCTGAAAGTAACAGGGGAAATGTGCAGCCTGACTGAAGCTCAAACCTGGCATGCATTGAAAACCATTCCACAGCTCTACCATCTGAGAAATAAGGTTTCTGAACAGTTTATACTGTGACATCCCCACCATATTGAATTTTTTCTACAATCCATTTCATGAATAGCAGAGTATACTTCTTATAAGCTATATATGGCACATTTTGCATCAACATCACAGGGTAAGACGAATGTGCCGTTTGACCGGTATGAAACCTTGGATCCTTAGAATATTATACATGTATGTTGGCTGTACTGACTGAGGTAACTAGCTTACATGTAATTTATATATTATATATACGAGAATAATGCATTGGCATATAAATCAAAGAAACATTCATTGATAATGACCCTTTTTTAAAGTTAACCCTATCAGAAGAATCCCTTGAAAATGATATCATTTTAACATTGACCCATAATTATCACCACTGCCTTCTTATAGCCATAGGCAATATCAAACCGAGCCTGCAGCATTTGATAGAAACAATTAAACACATTAATTGGCACTTATATAATTTTTTAAGAGAAAAGATCCAGATAAAGTGTAAGAGTGAGATATCATGAATGGGAACTTTGATATACAGTTCCCTAGTTTGCCTTGTTTCAGAGGCAAGCCTGGTCCAAGCAGTCCTGAACATATTGGGACTTTTGTCCCACCTGTAAGATTGTTGACAAAGTATATCATGGTGAAGATGGGGTTTTAGTATCTCATGATTCTTGGATCACAAGATCAAAATGTTACAACACAATTACAGATCAACTCCCTTTATTAAGATTTGTGTTTACTTAATTTGAATTTATTCATTGATAACAGAATTTTTCTTTAAAGTTTTAAATACATAGTAATTTGAAGGATTGTGTCATGGTTCATTACTGTTCACTGTTTAGGGGAGAACATGTGTTAATGGCCAGATAGCTTAGTCGGTTGAGCCACGGTATGGTTCTTTAAGCGTCCCGGGTTCGAATCCCGATCAGACTGTACATTTTTCTTAATCTGTTACAATTGGCGCCCAACATATTGCCTTAACTGCATATAGCTCAGAGTATGTTCAATTCACACACCTGTGTATAATTTACCCTTAGAAATTTGAGGATAAGCTTTAATATAGCGAGAAGTCAAGAACTGTTCACTATTTAAAGGAGTTGATGTGTATCCATCTTAATAGCTCAGTCGGTAGAGTTGAAGTGAAGTATTCTGAGTGTCCCGGGTTTGAGTCCTGGTCAGGCTGCACATTTACTCACCCTGTTACAAAATTACAAATTGATAGGACATAAGAGTCTTGTGATAATTCTAAATATAATATATTAAATCATATTGGACTAATATTATTCACTTTTTATATGCATTAAACATTCTTAATCTTGTTGCATATTATACAAATTGATTAACTTGTATAACAGATATTGGTGGAGTGACATTGAAAACATCATAATTATGTTCCTTTATATATAGAAACCAACTATTGAATTATAGAAAATGACTGTTTACAAAATGATGTGGATCCAGGATTTTACACCAGAGGGATTGATAAAATTTGAACTTGTTTTCAAAAAAGGCAAGGCCTTGAAGTAATAGAATATTTATGTGTTACGATTTAGTGGAGAAGATGTGTAATCGGCTGGATAGCTCAGTCGGTTAGAGCTATGGTAGGGTATTCCGAGGGTCCCGGTTTCGAGTTCCGGTCAGACTGCACATTGTGCGCCAAAGTTGGGGCTTTGACTGACTATAGCTCAGAGCAAAATTCACGTTGCTTTGTAACCTGAGAAATTTGAGGAAGAATTTCAATATAGCAGGGAAATAAAAATAAGATAATAGACAAACAGGCATATAGCCGAAACGTTTGCAATTAAATTAAATTACTAAATGTTCGTGTTTGTGTGGCTTTTCTGATTATTTTAATATAGCAGGGAAGTATTTCACGCTTAAGAACATTTCTTTTTAGGGGAGGCCGGATAGCTCAGTGGGAAGAGTCACGGTATGGTATTCCGAGGTTCCTAGATTTGAGTCCCCATCAGGCTTCGATATGTTTTTGTTTTGTTTTTTTCTTTTACTTTAATTAATTTCAATCTTTCTTGTCATTTTTTTCATATACACCCTTTACTGCGATAAAACAAAATAATGAGAAAAAAAGAGAGTGACATTGGTGGGACGCACAGGTGACTGTATGATAAAACGCCAATTTTTAGTGATTGTTCGCTAAATATGGGGCAACAAAATGATTTTTTTATTGTCGCATGGAAATAAATGTCTCCCCCCCCCCCGTCATATCATATGTTTTGTGTTGTCGTGGTTGAAGGACACATTCAAAAATACTGACAAAAGATAAAAAGTGTGTGACAAAATATTCTCAATGTGTCACTCTTACAAGGTTTTGCTACTTGTAACAACCATAACCAAACAAAATGGCACAAATCAGACACAATAGTTTTGTGATCATCATTTGGCAAAATGGCAGCTGGACTTTTGCTTCACTTAAATGAAAAAAAATACTGTCAGGATATTCAAATACATGCACCGAAATAATTGTTTTATGTTGAAGATTTATACCAATTTATTAAAGCGCTGTGTTCGAAAACAAAGTCACAAGCAAGTTAAAAAAACATGTACAAACCTTGGTAATATTACGCCCGTGTGATTATTACGCACACCGGTTATAAACCCCAGCCATCCGATGAGTCATTATCACTCATGCGCTATTAAAGGTTTAAACATAAAGTTTATGAATAGTACAGAAAAACAATTTTCATATGTGTGTGTTAACGTGCTTTGGTGTACGTTTAGTCGGATAAACAACTTTAAATTGCTAAAACTCTAACAAAACGTTTAAGAAACATGTTATTTTAGATATATTATGCCCTTTGTCACGTCTCAAAACGTTTAGACGATTTATATATTCAGTTTTTATTTAACTGTAAATAAACTAGTATTTGTAGCGAGTAGGTTTTAAATATCAGTATATTTACAACTTTAAATAAAATGAAATTTTAAGGACGTATTGTAGTTTTTAAGGAATATTTTAAAAATAGTGAATTGAACAAAATGAGAGAAGACAAAAGCATAAAAGGTGGAAAGGATTTATTCTTCGAAGACACAGTATGTTCTCCAAAAAATGTAATGTAAGTATGACTTTGTCAGTTTTCTCCTTCTCCTTTTTAATGTTGATAAGAACTACTTCAGTTAGATTTCCAAAACATCTGGATGTGTATTGGCCACATCATCTCGGTATATGGAATTTGGAAGAGGACAAAGAAATAAGTAGCAGTGATCAACTTATTGTATTCCACAGTTATATACAATTATATATTATACTTTATATTACATGCAAATCTTACAATAATTGTTTCTTTCAACAATACATAATCTTAGAATGACTTGAAAGAAGTTATTTTAAGCTACATATGTAGACACATTTCTAACACAGCTGTGGCAAGAGGTTACAATTTTAACATGTTAGAAAATGGTGGTGTGCAATCAAGAAGTAATTATACATTGTTTAATATAGTACTGATTTTATTGAACTTAACTTAAATTGACAAATGTGAGCATCAGCTTCTTGCAATAAGTTTGGTATATTCGCCCAAATATTAAACAAGTGGATTGCATATCAGAACTTGTATTGTAATCATTTACATTTGTTCTTTTCATATAAACGTATCCTTTTGTTTGTTTATTATAAAAAACATATTTTCGGGGTTGACTTCTTATATGTAAATGAACCAAATTCACGCAAATGAACATTTCTTTATAAAAGACTATACACACATATTAACATTGTAAATACATTTATATTCGAACATTCTCAGGCATATCACACTAATCTATGTTACCTTGATATTGTTACGGCATCTAATAACCGGCAAACAAATCTGAGGCATTAACATATTTTAACTGAGAAATAAAACACCGACATTTTACTAGATGGAAAGCAAATCATTTACTTACACTTGATTTTCCAAAGTTTTAGTACAAATAATGAATGCAAACTGATGCCACCGATTATTATACAAAGTGAAAAAGGAACATCACAAACCCTTGGTTGTCTTGAGCATAAAATATTATCACTGGAACTGATACGTCAACAGAGACGTTTGTACCAGAAGACTACCAATCAATATACCCAATATACCCATATCATATACCAACCCACAACCACTTGTGTTAATATGAATGTCTTAAACTGTGAATTTCTGTTTGACTTTAGTCACCTTTTGTTAAAAAAAAAGAATTTGCCTTATAAACATTATCAAATTATCTGTAAAAAGATATACAGTCTTCAGGTCGAATTTACAAAGTCTGCTAGTCACGTCTGTAACAATTTTGCCAAAGCTACACTGGACATAGTTCACATTAAACAAAGAACAACAAGTAATGATTACTCAAACTTAATATCCTTTTCTCCTATTTTCATGGGAATAATCAAAGAATGTTTCAAAGAACCTTTTTTTAAATCCAATAAAATTTTATAAGTTCCAAAAGATATTTCATTTTTGTAAGTCCGAAAGGTTCTAAGTTGCAATAAAAACACGATTCAACATACAGTAACAAATCTTTATATATAATCAATATCCCCGCCAAATTTACAAAAAAACACGTAAAATACATGAACAACGGTGGCATACATCGTTGAGGAAACAACAAAGTTTACCGACAATGATTTTAGGTAACAATTAGAACGGTGTAAATATGTATAATTTTATATCAATGTACATAACACCGTTGCTTAAATGATACTTTACAGCATATCAACACCAGTACATATGAAAAACGAACATATGAACAAACAATAAATTCATGACATGAGTTTATTATACGATTAACTTTCTTGCAAAAACCCTTTACATTTATTTAATTAAATTACATTTTAATAAATAAATGGTCACGATGTTCTCGACAACGGTTACTGTTATATATACTGCATTTTGTATGGCTACCCAATGAGTGGGTTATTGTTTAACTTAATTTGATTATATACATGTATTACTTCGAATCTTAAGCGTTGTGCAATTTTCATTATGTGAATTTGAAATAATTTACGACATGATTGCCATAACATTACAACATTACATTATTATGTTATAACATAACATAACATAACATAACATAACGTAACGTAACGTAACGTAACGTAACGTAACATAACATAACGTAACAGTCTATTTGATGCAAATCGACTATAATTTTGTTGTAACAATTATAATGTCGCATAAAAGTTATAATATAATTTTTATTCGACATTAAAATTGTTACAATTAAATTAAAGTGGATTTGAAACAAATAATGCAAAAGTGAGACACATGATTTCCTAACCTAGAAATATATATTTGTTTACCGGGAAGTTCACCCCATGACGAATTGTTAATTATATGAAGATAGCATAATCATTGTGCACAATTATCAGAAATGTATTGTCTGGGTGAGAGATCTGCAAGTGTAAATAGGTTATTTTTGTGCATGGTGGTTCCCTTCCCTTCCAAAAATTCTTATCCCGCTTATATAAAATCAAAACATGTGCCAAATTAGTACAGCAAAATATTGTGATTTGCAACTATAAACATTACTTTATTTATTTACTTTATCTAAAGCCTTAATGAGTTTATTGATATAAATCATGATTTATTCTGGAGCATGTTACAATGACGTAAACAGATTGAAAGTCAATGTCTTTACACCCTCACAATGCATTACCTCAACTTTGATAGATTATCTGAATATACTAGATTTGCTTTGAAATTCATTGAATATAATGATCCTAGTTACAATCAAACGTGTTATCTACGCATCTTTAACATTCAAAAAAAAAAAAGAAACGTTGTTTTTTAATTATAAAAAAAATGTTTTTAAATAAAAAATTATCATTTGTGTTGTACTATATTTAATAACAAATGGTGCCCGATGTTAAAGGGTTGTGTGACCTAGTCTTAAAAGATCAAAATTTCAAAATAAATATTTTACAATTGTCAAAATAAACATAATATACTTTTAGAACAATATTTCAGTTCCGTAAATTGAGCTATATTTTGAACCAGACAGTCTTACAAGGTTAATGTTCCGACAGGAGATTATTTTAAACATTTCGAATCGAAATAATTATTTAATTTCAATATCAGTCAACTATGTATCATATATTGGGGAAAAACAAATATGATAAATAAAAATTAAAGTGGGCGGAGACTACTTTCTCAAATATTTCTGTTTTGTAATAAAATGGTTTGATTTTTTTCATTTCTTCATCGGAAATTATCTGGTTTTGTTGTGTTTTTTTTTTCAGGACAGTTATGGCAGTGATAAATTGTATATTGAATCCGAACCGCGTAGAGCATCTATAAATAATCAATGTATTACTACGTGCTGTATAAATGCAACTGCGTAACAAATTGGTGTATTCGTAAACAACTTTTTCTTGTGGGTAAAATTTATATAGCAATGTTAGTTTTTTTTCGTTTTTCGTGAAATGTTGAATATATTTGCACTTAACATGATGAATTTCTATATATTTCACTCGAAGTTCCGGCTTGTGAAAAGATATGCAATTAAATCATGTTTCGTGAAAATATTTTTCATATTTCTCACACACGAAAAAATATCCTATTAAATGGTGTGTTAAGTGAACACTTTTTTATTGTCGGGGAGCATTCCCAGTGTACCTTATAATTACAGTGGGGTCGGGGAGCATTACAATTACTGTAACAGTATAAGTTTATATGATATGCAAAGATAAAAATTGTATTAGTTTATAACATTTGTGTAAAGCAATATATAAATAACTTCATAAACACTTAAGTACGTATAGATCATTATTATGTGTTTATACTACAAAGTATCAAGCCTTTAAAAAGAATGGACATTTTAAGATATATCTGTATATTCAAAGAATTGTTAATAATATAAATAGAATAAGTTCAGAGAGGTTCTTGTAATTTGCAATTAATAAATGAGTTAAATGCTCCTACAAAAATAATAAGATCAAAAACTATTAATAGTTCTTTCAGCTGTAAAAGCCATTATACAATATTGCCTCATTTGAGGATATTTATCAAAAATTTGATTTAATTTCTTAATTACTGTTTTGATACTTAGAGGAATATAGCATTACTTGTAAGTATTTTATCAATATAAGTTTCTCATCTGACCTCTTAAATCCCCATTATTATCTACACAATAATGAGAAGAAGCTTTTATAATAACTTGTTGTTGCCAACTTAATAGATAAAAAATAATTTTCTTTCCATGTATATCCATCCTCATAATCATGAACATATTTATCCCAATTTGTACAACAAAAAGTTCAATTTCACTTCATTCAATTTACAGTGCATGTACATACTCTACTTCATGTCTTATCTGTTAATAAAGTTTAAAACTGACATAATCAGTAACCAAAAGCTTGTGAACATGTGAAATTTCAAGGAATGAAAAAAGCTAATAAAGAATATTACTACACGAATTGTTTTCAATCCAGTTTGAGTTTTGCAAAACCATATATCATGTTATAAACTATTGGTTAATGACATTTTGAGGGGTATAAAAAGACATAAAAAAGGGTTTGGTGTGATCTATGTGTGCTTAACCTGAGAAACTTAAGACTTGATTTAAAACTAAGAACACTTGTTTTGCTGGAATTGATGAGATTGGGACCGATGGAAGTCTCCTTATAAGAGTAGTATAAGTCAGAGTATTATTTGGAAGTGCGGATTTAGAATGTCAAAAAGAAAATTATCAACTTAACTCAATCAGATTATCATACTTATGCCACGATTTTTTAAAAAAAATCAAGTTTAAAAGATTGTTTCGAAATATATTTCCCAGTTTTATAACTGGCACATATTTGATTTTTGAAGTTTGCTAAACTTGGCCTTTTTGTTTTATTCTGCTTTAATATATACATGTATTAAAATTTCGCATTTATAATTATTTGGTTTGTAACACTTTCCAGATATAACACTTTCCAAAAAACAAAATCTGAAATGATCAAACTATTTAAATGAATATTACATTTTTCCTTTATATAAAGCTGAAACTGTGTCCAAAACTGTTTTATAATACCACAATCAAAGAATAAATGTACCGATGTTTCTTTTTCATTTCAACAAAAATACAAATATCCTCAATTATAATA